AACCTAGGATTATAAATTCAGGAATAGGTACAATATATCTTACTCAACAACTCAATAGACACGATGCAATCCAATGCCTCTACGAGCACAATCTCATTCATATAATAAACGTTTAGTAATTTATTCATGTTCATAAAGCTCATAAAAGTTATTGCTAGAAAGAATTGCGCAATTTGATTGATGCATCTTCACGAACAAATTGACAGGCAATGAGTGCGTATTGATTATAGATAACGTTAAGGTACCGCTACTGAACGGACACATGAAGTGTGCAACTTCAGAATGCTAATTTTACACATAAATATTCTGATAATGTAATTTTGTATCGGTCTTTGTCGGTTTTTTCTGTAAGAGGGTCAGTGTGAAAGATATCGTTAGGGCTTTTGAAGTATTGGTTTCAGTTCGGGTTAGACATTTTGAGTTTGTGCGGCAGTATATGACTGCCGTACACACACTACTTATTCATTACCTATAGATACTATTGAAAGTACTTAATAATGTATTAGTTTCTTTTTTTCATTAAAAAGTAAAATTGTAAGAATACTTATTAATTATTATGTTTTCGGCTTACTCACGTAACTGTTTGACGAGGAACTCGACTAGTTTCAAGCCATGCTAGAGGCTCATTCATGAGCAGCATTCCGCAACCCGCGACGCGCGTTAAAACAACGCAATAGTTACACGAGTAAGCCGAAAACTATAAGAATTAATTAATATGTCTCACGATAGTTTTAATATAAACGTGTAAGAATACTTTTTCTATTCCTTTGCAGAATTGCAGAATCTGTGTTACTTTTGTACATATAGTTTGTTTGTACAGACCACATGTACTTAGGTGGTTTCCGTAGGTGCAACGTCTATTTCAACAGACGGGCGTCTTTTGTTTCAGTCTCGTATTAGCACTCCATTTGTTCATGGTGCACGTTCCGCGGGCTCATGTAAGCAATTGTACAAATTGAGTGGAGCCGCTCGACCTCGGGCTAAATGATCCGTGAAATGGCCGTCTGATACAGCTCTTGACTTATTCTATCCGTTATTCGATTCGATTGCCCGATTCCCAGACGATACACTAAGAGATACCAAATGTATTGGAACTTACTTATGTGGTACTTTCGCTTCGGTTTTATTAGTACTTATTCCAAGTAATCTTGCTTACCGATATTCTGGATTATTCCCTATTGCATAGTTGGGGCTGCTGTGGAGGTGTTGTATCAACATTTAGGTTTTTTAATGGTTTTTGAATTCGTATGTTTTGATATTTGGATAATTTGGTGGCTAAATTTTAAAAGTCTATGAAGATAGGATAGCTTGGTCCCAGCTAATAATTAACGAAAGTTTCACAACCCCTTATTGTCTTGCTGTCTTGCCCCCCGTAAAAACATATTTACTGATTGCCGGATAGGTGGACCTTGGCCCGAAATGAACCCATAACATAGAGGATAGATGTACTGTGCTTCTCAGACATGGCACAATACATAAGCAAGTAAATACTCTAATCGTTCTATCAAGCTCCTAATTCCTAGCAAAAGTATAGTTTTCTTTATGCTTTGACGAAATTTCTTTAACGACACATCACATCTCAAGAGAATACAAGAAAATAGCTGCTAAAGAAATATCGAAACTTTTTCTTTTTGGTAAAAACTATCAGTCTCTTGGGATCGCAGAGGTCAGACGTTGCTGTATGTTGCTGGATCAATACTTACTGAAAGAAAAATTATAAATACCTTTTGAATTGTAGAATTATTTTCATTTACATCTTTTTGAGTACTTTTGCTGAATCTTGAATATTCAATTGTAATGCAAGTGCATTGTTTATATCGTAGTTGAGTTTCATAACGTTAAAAGCGTTGGTAGAGAGACATTACTGGTTATTATGACGCCGCGCCGACTGCACACCGTACAATGGTCTCTATGAATAAAATATACCGAAACTGGGCCACCGTGCCGCCATAGAGGAGTTAGCAAATGAAGCGGCCATATCGAGGACAAACGAGGTAACCGTACTAGCAAAACTGTTTAGAAGATAGAAATCGTTCCCAACTTAAAAAAAATCCCGATTAACTAAATTTATGTTACTTAAATCTTCAAGTCAATGAGATTTCCTGCGATTTTTATAAATCAAGTTAATCTGTCTGACACATAAGTGTAGTCAGAGGTTAAGTGAACCGATTAATGACATTAACGAGTACTCCATTTACTTATTCATCTGAGTCACCGGAGTTAGGTGTGCTCCCAATGCGTCGTATGCAACGGTTCGTATCTGCTGCGCGTTCTTTTATCGTCAGCACAATGTACTTAGAACCATCCTTTGTGTTCACGTATAATATACTCTGCCTGTACCCCCTATATAGGTGTAACTGGGTCAAAATGGGCCATATGTATTCTGCATGTTGTTACGGCTCTTGCAGTGTCTAATATGTAGTGAATATCTTGTTTTAGGTTTAGTATTTTATGTAAACCTGCTTTTGGGTACTCAAATTACTGCATGTAGTTAATTTTAAACAGCATCGTCATCGGCATTAACAAATAGTCCATTATTAAAATATAGTCCTCTACAAGAGATTGTTCGATATTCAAGCTTAACTGATCTTTGTTTTGCTGCTTTCACTCTTTCTAGTATTACAGTTTTATGTAAAAATAAGTCTTTGTTAGGTTCAGTAAAGCTTATGCAAACAGACCTTTTAAACAAAGCGCGAGCTTCAGTACCTAAGCTTGAAATAAATTAAAAAACAGTTGTTATTTTTACAAGAGTTGGAGTTTCATTAAAAATGGAGGAGATTAGTAACACGTTTTAGCGTTTAAAACTTTAGCACTAAAAGCATTTATATTGTTTACTTGACGCTGTATTCTCTAAATAGATAAACTGAAGTGGTATTGTCATACAATAGAATTTCACGTGATTTTCTATAAATTCAGATTCTGAGAATGTTGCATCGTCTTTCTTGGAAATGCTCAAATTATTTCGTTCGCTGAAATTCTGCGAGAGCGACAGAATGATATTTTATTGTTTTTAGCTCGCTAACAACACTCGCTTACACATCGCTTACTTAACAAAAATATGTCAATTATGGAAATGGTACCACAGTACATATTATCTGTTCTGTGACTGCCTCATTGGCCGAATGGTCGCAAGTGCGACTGCCGGGCAAGGGGTCTCGCGTTCGATTCCCGGGTCGGGCAAAGTATTAGTGGGTTTTTAAAAATCTCAGTAGTAGCACGGAGTCTGGAAAAATGTGCCCGGTATATGGCAATAGGCTCACCCCCTATTACATGGGACTCATAACATAAATAGTGAAAAGTGGGTGTTACATTGTACAGTGGCATTAAGTGCCGAAATGTGCACCTCTGCCTACCCCTTCGGGGATAAAAAGGCGTGATGTTATGTTATGTTATGTGATAGGTATCGTAGGATTTCTATTGTGTTGGTCTCTCGATAACCTTACCACTTAGGTGTGAGATGGTCAGATGCAATCAGTCAAATCTCAAGATTGTCTTTAACCCTGTGACGGTATTCGTACTGGTACCGTAATTTGCAATTGTTGTTCTTTTTAATGTTTATTTATTACTTACCAATTGGTTCTTTTGTACCTTCACATGAAATTAGATCTTTCCAAATTGGACTGAAAGCTACGGGTCGGAAAACCCTTTTTCCTTTGAAGTCACATAGTAATTTGTTACCAAACAGTACATAGCAACATCCGTGAATGATTTCCATAAAATATATGTTTCAGTTTGTTACAACTGGAATACAGTCGACATTGCTAAATTTGCGAACATAAAAAGGAATAGGAGTAAGGTCGTAACTCAAGGAATATGTAAATTGTAGAAAAGTTTTAGGGTTGTCAATAAAACAAGAGCGCGTATAGTACAGAATTTATTTCCATATTATATACTCAGATATAACAGCAATTGTCTCGACTCCACTCTATATACTCTCCAACAATATTTACATTGAGTTTTCGGTTTCATGTCGCTACACTTTGTTCCGCCTTTATAAAAGCGATACGTTGTATGGTTTATGTAATTCCGAGCCGCGTAGTACGCGCGTACTATGCGCCTCTCTTTACAATAAACGCTACGTACTTTGAAATGTTGAGATATGATAAGATGAACAATCTTCTTTTGCGTATCAACATTTACTTTTGCGCTTAAATCGAATAGAAGAATATATACGTTTCTTTTTTAAGTAATTAAGTTTTTTGTCTTTTTATCTTGGGATATGAAAAATCTATCAAAAACAAGACGATAACACCAACTTAGTTGTTGTTATTTGTTCTCAATAATATCGGTCAAGGTTGTGAACTTTTTCCCGTTGTCCCGAAGAGCGCAATTTCCTAAAAAGACACTTGAAACTGATCAACATACTCGAGTTTCTCGGTCAAGGGGCCGGAGTTCGGATCAAACGCGAAAACTTCTTGGACAACCTCCTTCAAACTTAATACACAGGGTTATTGCTAAATGACTTGTGAATAACAATTTTTTGAGGCTCGCTATATGTATATGTCACGTGTTTTGAGAATTTCTTATGTTACAAAAGTACTTCTAGAACGTAGAAGTCAGAAGATTTATGTAATTTTACAAATTTTATTATTAGACCATATTCTTGGGCATTCTAATTATTTTTGATACAGTCGACGAGAATAATATCATACTATCCAAATCGAAAAACAATAATATATTAAAATTAAATTTCGAAAAAATAATCATACGTCACTTATGTCAACTGTCGTTGATATTTGTTATTTGTTGGCTAGATGTGCCTGTAACGTTCAGTGTTTAATTTCTGAAGTGTTGAATTTATACATTTTTACAGTTTTTACATGTGTAAAAACTGTAAAAATGTATAAATTTTCGTCATTTTTAGTGCAGTGGATATATGTGTATATTAAACAAGTAAATGTGCTTCTACATAGAAGCACATTTACTTGTTTAATATAATATGATATAGAAAATAAGACACTGCATTTGAAACTAGAGCCATAGACATGGGGCTTAGAATTCCAACCAAATTTGTATTTTAGAAAGTTGACAATTTGTGTCCAAATCTTAATCACGTTAGAAGTTTTGCAAGTCATTAAACAGCAATGCCTATAGCTATGTGACCGGTTACTGTATTACGGCGGTAGCGAGTAGCGACATGTCCGTACATTCCAAATGGTCCTCACATAACACTCCATATTATCTACGATACATACAAACCGCAGTCATTACATGACCGCAACACTTTATATATTCACTAATCTTTAAAGCAATTTACAAACGTATTTTATTGCTACAATATAACTTATATTTTTATTTTATATTTTCTCATCTTGTCATTTTGTTTGATCCTACATTTACTTGTGTATTATATAGAAATTATATATTTGTAGACAGAATAAACACGGGTATTTAGGCCTGCAGTAGACAATGTATACACAACAAACGTACAGCTATTTATAATAATATCGTTTAAACTTTGTTATGTTGGAACTTTGAATTTGCATTTAGATGTTGGATTTAAATACTTAATCAGCTATATAATGCTCGAACAAACCGTATATAAACAATACAGTGCATCGAGTGCACCAACTTATCAACTAATCAGTATCACATAACATAATATTAGTTTAAATTATGACTTAATTAATATTATAAATAATAATATCCGTAATATTAATATGGCAACGAAATATATTTACTAGCTAAGCACCTAGACCAGTAGGATTTCAGGTATTTACACAATCTGTACACAGAATCCTTATTAAAGAGTTCTCACTCGCTTCTAATCGTTATACATTTTCTTAATAAAATTATTGCCAATCAGCTAGTGTTCAACAATGATTAAAGACTTTTTCAAATAATTTATTAATTATTATGACAATAAACTTCACAATTTCACGTCGAAATGTTTAAATGCAGAGCTTCCATTACAATGTATATTTTCACCTAAGTCTAAGAAGAATCTTCAAAAAAATATTTACAAAATGAAGACAACATCGATATGCACTGTACATTAACTGGGATATGCACTGTACATTTACAAACGTTAAAATACCTTATATGCAACGAGATGTCGCGTGCATCGTTACGAGATTTCATTATAAAATCTTATCAAACATCTTTGTAAATACGCGGAAATCTGGCGACGGGTACTACCGTAGTTCAGGACTAGCTACAACGAACGCTCGCACTACGCATCACTCACGTGTCTTTTATTGCGTCACTACACTATGTTCCTCGCACTCGCACAGCGGGCTCGCTCGTACGTGTGAGCGAGACAGCACGAGAGGCTGAGCTCCGTGCGCGGCAGTCAAACACACGATCACTCATGACGTCACACAAAATGATATGGTTATTCTTACGTGCGCTGCGACGAGGCCTAGGTGAGTCGTGCGATGGATGCGACCAGTGCGCACAGTAGCGGTACTAGTAGGGACGCGCTGTGTCGAGGACTTGCGCCGTTGAAGACCTTCGGTGTTGAAGAGTCAGGAGGAGATTCGTGCAGATCTGGTCTACTTTCTGTTGTGGATAAAACACAAAATAATTTAGTCAAAGTTTGGTCATACACGTAAGATTGTTACTAATTTTGATTAGCGTGGAATAAGTGGCGGATACTTTTAACATGTAAGATTTTGAAATAGTTTTCATTAGAATAGAATAACTGAATACTTACGTCCGTCATGGTCACCGGAGCCGTCATCTCCCGATCCTTCAGAATCGTAGTCATCAGGATAGCTGCGACCAGATCCTGACCCTTCCTCTCCTGCTTCGTCTCCTTGCATGAAGGCTTCCGCAGAGAGCTCCTTGGTACGCGAATATGATACTAGCAACTGTGAAAAGAAACACAACAATAAAGTTGCAGTTTTCACTTCCCACACACTTTTAGACAACTGTTGGGTGACCAAATTGAGAGCAATTAAAGGTTAATTGAATGCTTACTTATTGGAGCTTGAACTATTAGAAAGGGGATTATGAAATTATTTGATTTAAGGCTAAATTCTCGGCAGTAACAATGAGTACCTCGTCTTCTTAACAACAAAACATAAATTCTCAGTTATAGCCCATAACCGAGGATTTATGCTGTAGAAAATTTCAATTATACTTTTTGCTTGAACTTCGCAATCAAAGCACTGCACCAAACGAAGCGTTACTTCGCGGTTTAGAAGTTTTTTTACTTTTTCAAACCCTTCTTTATTAATGGTTCGTAAGGTTCGTAAGTAGATAAATGAAGAGGTGGATATCAATTAGCCACAAACACCGATCCTCGAGCGCTTCCCTCCTACAATTACACAAGTTAACGTTTTTAATGACATCTTTAATTACGCGTTTCCTTCCTGTTCAAATAAATTTATTTCTTATCTACTAAGCTTCGCACTACTTTTTGTTATTTGTGTCTACTCGAATTCATTATGTTAGATAATTACTTTTAATTTAATTATTTTTGTAATGGGGTTTGTGCCCGTAGCAATAAGATGTACACCCCTATAGGGTAAATAAGCTTCCGGCTCAAAACTTGCTTCAATGTTATTTGACCAGTCGAGAGGCGATAATTAGAGTAATTCTTACTATTTTTCTGTTAAAATATAACGTAGTTGTTGATTCGTCATGAAATAAATCAATTCACATTAAATAGATCTCTCCAAGCTGGCTACGGTGTTGTTTACCAAAATATCCCAACCATTGAAACAACTTTTATTTTTATTTCAAGAGGAGGTTACGTTACGTATATTTTCACAATAAACTGTGCTACCGCTAGTACCAACAATTGGCATGGCGACTATTTATTATTTTTAAGAAGCGTGTATATTTAAGTATTGTTACGCGACATTTTGTTTTCCAGGGCAGTATTCCTCATTGTTGAGAATCGTGACCCCATTCGCAGCTGTCTTGGCTTGCACTCTTTGGCGCGAAGTAGTTTTAAATACGTACCTACTATATTTAGTGCGGGTTTTGTAAAGCGAAACGGATTGGTTGCTAATGAGGAGGGATTTTAATTTAAATATTTTCGTAATAGGTTCATACACATTAATCTTTGAGGGAATAGGGTATGATATCACCAGATCGAATCTTCACAATATTATCAGTTTTTTATATTTGATGGGCCGACGTTTAACCACAATCTCGCCTGCAGCTGTAGCCAAATGCCATTTAGCGCTTGTCTACATGTAGAATAGAACACCAAATTATATGGAATTGACTTAAATTTTGACACTAAACTTGTCAGTGTCATCCCCATACATTTAGTTTTCTACTCTCTCTGTAGACAAGCCCTAAAGTATGGCGTTTGGCTAAAGGCACTGGTAAGCAATGACGCGGTCTACGATGGATCACGTCGTCCCATAAGCAACCTATTCACTCGGGCCTTCAAGACACCCAAGATATACCCTTTAGAAAATACAGACTCTGGCAACGAATGAATTTTATCAGTTCCATTATGCAATTTGAATCAAGGTAAAAAACCGCATGTAGAAAACTACTTATTCCTATTTCAAAGCACCTAGCTACACCATAGACAAACTGAGGGACAGTTCAAGTTTGACTTGAAGTGTTGACTTTAACAGACCCATAACAGCTCATAACAGTCTAAACTTAGTTTATAGTATTTCAGAGTACCGAAAAGTATTTTACTAAACTATGACTAGTATTAAACCAGAAACATTCTCGAGTAGGTATAATGTCTAAATCATAGCTTGATTGAGTCACTTGATGTCGGTCTTTGATTTAAGCTTCCTTGTTACACTAATGGTTATTTTATTATCACACGAGTTAGATATTGTCATTAAGATGTGCTTTAGTTAGACACAGCCTGCGTTTGTTGTGACTATCAACAATAATAAAAGGACGTCAGTGACACTACAAAGTTGTCTTCTGAAGTATTCACGCCGATTGTATTTTTGAGGTCGTATTATTATTATTTATTTATTATTAAATCACACAGGTAAGTATGTCCAAGCCCCACGAAACCAAAATAATTGATTAGTGATAATTATGAAAGATGATACTTAGTTAAAATCCTTTAACTAACATGAAACTACCTCTAGATAATGTTCCATCTATCTAGAGGTATATAATCTACCTTATCATTCAGATCGTCATGAACAGCCTCTGACAGTCACAGTAGTGGACTACATGGCATGGCCTCCTTTACATTAGAACGATTACTATAACTTCCATATTTGGCAGGTGGGTTGGAGATCATTAACAATTATTTATTAGTACATCGTACAACAGTTAAATCAAATATATTTGATAAAGGCCTCTATTTAAGTGTGGAGCCATACTACAGCACAAATTGGCCGGCTCGACCGGAGTGATACCACGGTCTTAGAGAAAACTGACGTGAACAGCACTTGCGTTGTGTCTCGTCGCCTGAGTGAGGTTACCTCCCCCCCGCTACCTCCCAAGTCTCCGAATCTTCTACAATCCTCAAATTCCCAAGTCGGTAACGCACTTGTAACTCCTCTGGTGTTTCAGGTGTTCATGGGCGGCGCCGATTGCTTACCATCAGGTGATCCGTCTGCTCGTTTACCGGCTTATCCCATAAAAACAAACCTCTGTAGATTTTCCTTATGATAATGTTTAGTTACGTCATACGTGTACTCACCTGTCTAGCTTGCTGCAGTCTGTCTCCTAAGCTGGCGACTCTCGAATCCTGTGGCGGACTGCCGCTGATCTCCGGGTTATATTTCTGGTCACTCAGTGAGGCGGACGCTACCACTGGTTTTGTGTAACTATGGATACAATTACACCATTACATTAAATTAACGTCATATCATGGTTTATTTTCCAGATATTCTACAAATTCTATATTATACCTAAGGAATATACCTATATGGTCGGTTGCCAAGCACAAAGCATAGTTCTTAAGCATTCTCACTCAATTTTGCGACTAACCCCGACAATACTCAACCCGAGAATGCAAACTGAACCCTTGCTTAGCAGTCACGCTTGTTCTTCGATCACCTCGATGAACGAAGTACCCCTGAGCGACCCGGTCTCATTATTTTGTATTATTAGTTATATGCTGCTGCTATTGTTACTGATATTATTTGCTAAAAGCGTGTTGATAAATCCGGGAATACATAAAGATTTTAGCCAAAGTCGTAAACTAAACCATTAACTAGGTCGATTTAATATTCTAACAATATTTTGACAAAATGTTCCCAGCTTTGATATCTATGTGTTCGAAATTTGTGCAAATTAAAATTAAATTAGCATGCAGGATGTCGTGTACAGCATATGTATGAATAACAAAAAGGTTTCAGTTTTCAGGTACGCCAGACTATTCAGGCGAGACTACTAATACCTAAATATATTTATGTTTCAGGAAAATGATGGCAGTTCCTCAATCAGATGAGACGAATCTGAGATGAATATCTACAGAATTATTCTGCTCCTTAACAAGCTCAAAGTAAAGCTACTCACTCTGCAACAGCGTTCCCATTCCAACACTTCTCATTATCATCGGCAGCAAAATCTGGTTCATCACAAATCCTATCAGAGAGTCCAGCGAACAGTTTCTTCGTGGATGCCAGAGTAGCTGCAAACTGCAGGAGTTCAGTGTCTGGTGGTGGCGCTCGAAGGTTGTCACGACGGATTGGACCAGCTGTGGGTAACGCTGAAGATGTACCAGGCTTTTCCATTGTGGCTGGAGGACCACATTCTTGACGGACCTGTGGACAAAGAAAACCTTTAATGGAATGATCATAACTCGTACGTCGCTTCGTAGAAAGAAGGTTGGAATGTGCTGTTACCTAAAGCAAAACCTGTCCATACATTAGTCTGTCAATTTCCTACAGACGGTGATTGCATGATTGTATACGCAAACAAGGAATGTTATACCGCTATTCCTGTAACTAGCAAAAAGTGAGATATAATCAGCTGGCGTTCCACCAGAGATGAAGACAAACGACGGTGTAGGTTCGATACAGTCATGTCATTTGTCAGCACAGCGCCGTTGCGATGTTGTTGCGACGCCGACGACGACGGCTGGATTACCATAGAGTAGTAATCTCGGGAGAGAGGTGTCAACGTTTTAAAGTGAAAAATTACCTACAGCTAGATCAAAATTATTCACATTTGAAAGAAGTTCTTAGAAGTCATGAATGAAAAATATACCTATTAGGAAAAGTATCAGGTCCAAATGTGTTCAAAGATATATTTTTTAAGCAAATTATGCAGCTGTACTGCAAAGTCGAAAGCTATGTAAATATTTGTGATGCGGCTCTTACCAGCCATTTAGCAAAAATTATATGCAAGTAAAAAATATTACTGTTGGTATTCCATGGCCCGACATTCCAGCATTGTAGACTCGCAGCTCCAGTCTAGATAATATATTCTGGAGTGCGGATTGCGGCGTTACCAGCGCGTGCGCCGAGTGAACGGCCTCAACGACTCGCGACACGTAAATAAACCACAACAACACAGACGCAAATAGGCGCATAGTTCCGACGCAATTATTGCAAAAAGTACTACATAATACCACTGGCCGACGTCGTAAATACGTTTGACATTTTTATGCTATTTATAAAATAAACGGCGTATTTAAACTGTTTCAAATGAACTTTGTTAAATTGAAAATGTTCTCGTTTTGTAAGTGGTCGCTTTAAACTTCTTTTTTGTAATGGCCGTGTTTGTTTAGCGTGGGGATAAATATTATTACTGAGTAGTACATAAAGTAATATTACATTAAGTATTCGTCAGAAATTCTTGATGTATTCCAGCAAAGTTGAGTAAATACGTAAAGATTTCGCAACTTAAGAGTTGTATCATGAATCCCGCAGGAATCAGGACCAAGTTTTATTACGACTGTGACATCTGTCGCGAGCACATGTAGAATAAGTATGTAGGTACGTATGTATTATATCCTACTTTTATTAATATTGGAGATATTCGTACCAAACTCTACAAAATTTTACTATCAAATTCTTTCAAATTACAGTAATACATTTACATATATGTGAATATAAAAGTAATTTTCAGTTGCAAACCCCGATGCTCGCTATTTGTGAAATACTTAACTATTCGTTTTATTATAAAATTCGAGGTAGGTATTCTCAATTATGCAAATGCACCTAAATAGAGACATTACAATAGTAATTGTATGCGAAAAACTACCAAAATCCACGTACAAATTAAACTGAAAACGCTTATCTAACGAATGGCCAAATATCTCAATTAATGAATAGTAATGCTCGTAGAAATAAAGATGCAGCACAAAAACACAGACAGCAATTAAAATTTAACAGTCTGAATCAGTGATAGGCACAAAGTCGTAACATTATGTGCTAATTACTGGGTTTTTATGAATAGCTCCCAAGATGGACATAAAAAGGCACCGACTACTAAATATAGTAAATATTCATTAACGCGTTGAGTTTGCACGATGGCAACCGGCTTATACCGGCCGGCTACGAAAAGAATTAAAAAACAGTCTGTAGGTGCACATCAAGCTATGCAATACCAGTATAAACTGATCCTCAAATGTACGGGAAGATCATACAAAGCGGACTATAATAAACTGGTTTTATATATGTTCATGTGCAGGCATGTGTACGAATATTGCGGGCATTTGCTTGCCGCGGGTGGTATGTGGTAATTACAGTACTAAAGAAACTAGATACTTTAAACCGATATAAAAGCACCGCTTGCTATGGTAGCGATCGCATTTACTGAATGGGATGGAAATTATAATGATTTCTAATTGAAACAACTGTTTAATGATAATGCTACCGACATTTTGGTTATTAAAAATCGTTAAATGTATTTTAATTTAATTTAAATAAGAATAGAATGTAGAATACAAACATTTGCATTTACTAGGTAAAAATGTAGGTGGGCCGTATTAATATTTTTTACGATCTGCCGTTTGTTTGCATCGCCATAACAATGGCGGTAACCTATCATGTGCTAAAGAGTTAAATATTTGAAAGTTCATTTTGATAGAACCAGTTTTTGTTGAAAAGATAAAAGTAGGCATAAAAGATACCGTAATGTTTAAAAAACAGAATTTGTGTGTGAGGAAAACAAAAACTTTTAATTTAAATATATTCTACCTGCACTACATTGGTTAAACTTCAAACAGAGGCGTTTTCGACTGGACACCGCAACAGCGATCCATTGTTAATTGGACCACTGGCCAACAATTAATTAAACGTTAATTATTAATTTATACGCGTGTCCATCCGTCACTGCTATTTATGGCCGGGTCTTCATTGAAACAGTCACTCAATCTATTAGATTACCATTTAAAATGGATGACTAACGTATTGTATATTGTATTGGTAATCGATATTATTATACAATAACTGTAACACAAGATCTTTGTTCCTCATGAATCATGCGTAATTGTGTAGTGTATGAAAATGTTACATTTTGTAACACTTAGTTATAATGATCGAAAATTACTTCTATTATAATCTGTTTCATTGTTCGTTTCAGTCTCAGAGCTACAATGGAATACAGTTATTATAATAATCATGTATTTAAATCGTAATAGTAAGCTGAGCTTTGTTCATAATTGTTATTATAGTAACCTTGAGTTTCTTGTTGTGCGATTAACGACGACATTTTGTTTAAATGTCGATACTAATTTGTGGCAAGATATCTATCTATCTATAGAGTAAATGCCGTAAAATTTAAAAGTACTTATTGGTACTTTATGTCACGAACGAGGAGTCATGCTAAGCGATTGATTTCGAGTTATTTCTGTGCTCAGGTCGGTATGAATTGAGGTACCCAAGTTATATTCGTTCACACAGGCACGTAATATCGTGCCTGCTGTACTTGCTGAATATTAAACGCAATAAGATATGTGAGATATATAGACATGTAAGTACCTAATATATAAATTGACACGGGAGGTACAAAAAACGGAACATCCGGTATCAAAGACCTTCATTGAATTTGAATGTGTTGTATGAATGACATCTGTTCTTGTGACTAGAGAATTGTTACTGAATGCTTATCGCGTATTCACTTAAATGGTGGTTATATTGGTATCGAATACACTCATGGAATTTATTAAATGAAGGAGATGGTTTCCAACAGTACGATATGGTATAACTCTTTTTGTTCGTTACGCGAAGTCTAATAACATACATGTAGGAGCTTGGCATGTAACGCTGTACTTAGTACCATATTTCACATAAATGATAATAAATTAGTAATGCCAACACGGCCATGTTTTACCCAAACACGATAAACAACAAGAGCCGCACTCGTAAATCATATCACATCAGAACATCACAAAAAGCAATCCGAGCCGCAGACTCGACTCACATTTTTTGCCCTACCCTGTATAACTAGATTGTGCAAGATAAATAATAAATGGCATTTTTATAGGTGCTTCTAACATGACAATAAATATTTGAGGTCCAGACGTAAGACCATCATATAAATGGCCTATCATAAATTGGCCTGTAGCCGTAATTTGAGCCGTATACCATTATACGCTCACCTATTTGGTGGCAAATCTTATAAATTGCACGCGTGTTGGAGTCATCAAACACATCTAAGTTATTATAGATTATTTTATTACTTCGATAAAGTTAATACCAGATTGCCAGCCATTACAATCTATTGTACCGAACTTGACACGTGGAGAAGAAAATAGCTTCTAGACCGATACTTCGCTCAGTAATAATAAAATATAATCCATTAGTTGACACTTATTCATCAATACAATTAATTATATCCTGTAAATTAAAAGAATATATGACAATTCTAGTTTCAGAGGCGACAATAGAAAATAATGGCTGACGTCATAGTCCTTGTTACACTGAATGGGCTCGGGATAGCCATTTGTGGGAAATGAGCCAATTACAGGCCGCGCCGCTCTGAAAGATTACTTAATAGAAAATACGAAAGTTTTTCCTCGAGAATACTTGCGATTGCTTATTGAAATGAATTACATTTAAGAAGTTTGTCACAGGTGGTTAAATGGGGAGAAGATGGTGAAGATTCTGCGATAAAATCTTGGATGTTTATTTTGTAATTTGGTTTTGTATGGGTTTGAAAATACAGGACTTCGACCTTTGGGTTTAACAGTAGCTAGGAGATGTGCAAGATGTTTAAAGTTATAAAATAAGTAGCTTCTTCAACAACATAGAACACAATGAAACAAACTGTTTGGTACTTAAGTATCTTACCTTTGCAAGCGAATTACAATTACCTCTAATTGAATAGGCCTGCAATTTCCACGCCACGCGCATGTGACTTGTCTATGTTTATATCTAATAGAGTAGGAACAAAGAGTATTTACCTTTTCACTAGGTACTTTGTTTATAATGTCATTGGCCGGTAAACACAGACGGATAGAAACACGTGACGTTTGCTATTCAGCGCAGATTAGCGCTTTAAGTCGGTAAATAGAAGCTCAATAGCGTCTAATTGATTATTGCTATGTAGTTGAATGTATGTTAATTTATTGGCTTTTGTGCAATTTATTAATAGGAATTACTAAAGAAATGTTATTTTAACTGTAATTCCTTTTATTTTATATATTTTCATACATCAACCTAATGTTAGTGATGTTTCTGTCGTCGCAAAGCAAATAAAAATTAAGAAACCAATTAACTAAATTGATTTAGAGTCTCTGTTTATATCGATTGAGCCTAAACTTATTAATCGTTAATTTGTTAATTAAATTTAATTTCAATTATTTATAGTTAATTTACTCATTAAATTGTAATGTTTATTACCTGTTATCCCACTAATAAACAAGGCAATAAATAAGATATATTTTTGAAGTAATCGATGATTGTACATTATCTACTTGTTATACCCAAAACATAAACGTTTAGTAGGAAATTTTAATAGTTGAGTAGATATAAACCGTCTACTTTTATATTTTAACTTTTATTTTAACTGCACAAAACGCGACAAGAAATATTTCAGCTAAAACCCAACTAAACTAATTACAAAAATACCATTAAACATTTTACGAGCGGACCACATTTCAGTTTACGTACAATCGAATCGCGGCTAAGTTTTATATAACAGTAGGTACAATAATTTGTAATTAATCATACTTCTAATAAAAATACGTCAGAACCAGAAGTCGATCCATAAACAAGTCGCAGTATTACAATAAATAAAGTCCGTGGAACTATACATCAATTCTGCGATTGGTCGTATCGAGGCTCTAAGTTTTCGCCCACGCAGGGCACGACCCAAGACACGAGCGGTAATCTGCCACACGCCAAACCCACATTTCTAACTAATAAGTAATAAGTATAATGCGGGAACACTAAGAAGGGTCACTCCTAATGACGACCGAAAACTGGTAACAACTTTGAAACTGTAATGTAACTGAACTAGGGACCATGAAATTACTGAATTATGTATGAAGTATTTTCCATGTCAACTTGGAACGAGATATTCCATTGTTTGGTTGAGAATATTGTTGTAATTGTAACTTTTCCACACAAACTATTCCTAATGTTTATGGAGACCATTAAGTTATAAGTGGTTCTTCTGATATTTGTATACTTTATAAGAATTTTACGTATAAGGTCGTGTGCCATACTGCCTCGTGTGCGTAGGCGCCGGGGAAATGCGTTGTGAAATTAATATTAATAGCTTTACACGTTACATGTTATCTCGAACGTTGTAAATTTTCGTGTTCCTATCGAGTTTCGTGATATGTAGCGGTTTATTAAATAGTTATTTATATTATTATCAAGATTTTGTTATTTAACTAATTGAGAAATGCTCTGGTTATTTATTGGTTCGTAGTCGTAATAAAAGTTTCATGTTGAATATACATATATTCAACATGAAACTTTTACAAAATTAACTTTGAAGTATTATAATCCTACAGATTAACTCAGTTCTTATAGGACTTATACAAAAACGTTCTAATATTGAACACTATAATTTTGTGTAGCTAGCCAAGCTCTATCTTTTAATAAATCTGTTGAAACCAACTTATATTATTGAAACACTTAAAAGTATTTATTCTCGTCTAAACTTAAGAGATTCCTTAAGGAGAGCAACTTTAAAGAGTTAGAAGCAAACATTTTATCGCTGTCGAATGTACATTGCGCCTGCGATTCGCGAGTGGCGAGGTGAAAGCACGCACTGAGCGTGGGCGGGCGCCGGCGTCTCATGATGGAATATGAGACGCAGTTCAATAGTACACACAGAGTTCATACGAGACACGGAATACGAATCAAAAAGTCGATGACATGCCTTATATGTTTAATGTAAATATGCATTCAATAAAGTCGTGAACAGTTTTTCACAGATAAATGTTTATTAATATGAATATATTATTGAAATGTGGCATTGGTATTTCGGGAAAATTATTGTAACAGGAATTCGAGATGGAATTGGAAGGTAGTTAATGTGTATATTATTATAAAAATATTGTTTACTACTTTTTATAAACTATGACAAATAAATTACTATTCGGCGAAGGGTTGAAAATAGTTGTTAAAACAAAATTATTGCACAGACATAGTTTTCAAAACTTTCTAGTACTGTATTTAATTGTAGATGTTTCCCCGTTATTATTTGCTCGTCAGTGGGTAGAGGAGTAGCTGTATGATTAGCGTACAACAAGTAAATTGCAGTCGTAGGAAGAGAACCCAAGAGGCGATGATTACTGGTCTTGACACAGATACGTGACTTCTGCGTCGTGTGGGACCCCACTACAGAGTATACATACTATTTTATAGATGCCACAGATGATACTAGCTTCAAACCATGTTTCCGTGAAATCACTATTTGCTAATATTAATAGTTTGATGAAATTATTATTTTGTTCTAGGCTTATAATGATCACGATCATTACGAAATCCGGTACGAAAATGAATATACTTACTTCATTACATTGAGATTTTATGTCATTTAACTACAGAGTCGTCATTAATTATTAAAATAACAATTTCCAAAAGACTAACAACTTAACCAATGATAGTTTTGTTTTTAGAAAAGTAACCTGATATTTATTTTATTTACTCTTTGTACAAATCTCTTGAAGCACAGACACACAATATTCATTTTCTTTACCATTCTCTCGTTTTATTATTCAGCAATTTGTTTTGTGAATACTAACTCATTCTACTTGATTAAAAGGCGAGTCGACTGTGTAGTTATATAGGTAGATACTAGATTGAAAGTCAACAACCTCTAGGCTACAATGTCAGACTTCACTTTAGTGAAAACTTTTTATACAATACTAAAGCCTCTGTAATAAAGTTGAAGTGCGTTATATTTGGGTCGTTAATTTTTTCTTGTGTCTACGATCAAACAGGATTTCAGAATGTTAGTAGGTAGTTAGCACTAGTTTGTTTCGAACTTTCAAAACACAATGAACCAGGCTTTGTTTAAAAAAAACCTATTTCTAGGTACTTTTCGAAACTATGAGTCTGTTATCCCCTTAAAATTCATCATAGCGTTAAATAAATCATAGTACTATAACTATTACTATAGAAACATTTTATTTCTAAAGCAAAAACTAAACATTTTCCTCATTCCTTCGCTTCCGAGATATCGCATGTCTATCTGTTCTTTATCTTTTAATACATCCCGTTGTTTTCGCGAATTAATTTACTCGCTTATTAGTCCATGCTAATACGAACAATGAACACATATCCACGAGTTAGAATTACGATCACATATCTAGTTAATTGTATAGATCAACTGTCTCAGCAAATACCCGTGGCGGTACAGACGTAAGCTGTCACAAGTTTATTGAATCAAGCGTTTGTACACGAGGAAAATGATTGAGAACGAAACAAGATTACCTATATTGCCAATATTGCCACGACTGATTACGGCAGAGGACACAAAATGAAATATTTCCACTCAGAAGATATTCAAAGGGAAAAACGTAGCATTTTCTTTCCCTTTTTGCATTACGCTTAAAATAAATTGGTGGTCGGAATGAGTTATTCAATCTCTCGAAGCGGTTTCGTATACAGATGAACCTATTAAGCCGGAAGACGGAAACACTGTCCTTGATCCGAGGTGCGCTGTCTCATAAATACGAGATTCAGAGGTGTTATGTCATGTGTGAGTCAACGGGATGTATCCTACGTGGAAAGGCGGTTCCTACATCCATTGTTGCTGGCTGTTATGATATAAATAAACAGTGAATACTCGACAATGTTCAAATACTATTATTACAGTTGAAAATCCTTTTTACGCATGCCATTAAAAGCGACGTAAAGTAAATGAAAGTGCGATGTAAAAGCGTCGCGCGTCGTTCCACAATAACCGTAAGTTATATATCTGCAATATTAATATTCATGAAGCGAAACGCATGTTATGTGATATTTCAACGCGCTCAGGATGCATACTGCTAAATAAAGGGAGTCTTTATGAGCCTCGTTATTTCTAATAAACGACCATGAACCATTCTAGACTGCTCTAAAAGCTGCGAACTGTGAGCGATATTAGACGAATGTATGTCTAATTGGTAACACGTTTTTTGTCAGAGTAAGCTACATACTTTAATTTGGTAATTGATTTTTGTAAGTAGTCAAGTCAACATAAACCAATAAATAAAATTGATTTAATTAATATTTCACATTTTATGTATTACTGCAAAGATATTTCACTTTAGAATGAAGGCTTAATCAATTGTGGGTTTTATTTTGACGAGCGCCAATCGCTGGGAGGCAAGTCACTTTAGCGTTAGATGCGAAGATAAAATGTTCACTTAGTGTAAAAGCAATTTCTCTTTGTAGTGGGTGCAGACGGGCTCGACCTGCGCCCACCACTGACCCGAGCGGCCTACGTCGCACCGCTTTTAACTGTATATGGTCACGTAATACCTTGTAAACATGTTTATATGGACGCTCCACCGATAGAGTTCGTGGCACTAAACAATTAAATACTCCTACGAATCGAGTTTTAGCATATAAATAGATGAATGATAAATGCAAATCGTCGACAGCACTTTCAGTTGGAACCAGTAGTAACTAAGGAATAATTGAAATGTCCCGTAGAGGTATTCGGGCCACGTGTGGCGAGCTGCCAAACTGTAGGGCGTCCGGTAACTTTATTTTATTCAAGTCTCCGTGGTCAATTGGAATATATTTTTCATTTGATTGGGACATCAACTTCTAAAAGGTTTTCCTAGTTTATGCTGAAGTATACCAAATTTCCTAGCCTTTTATGAACAACCAGTGCTCCGGTAAATCAAACGAAATTATGACCAGACGTGAATTAAGTGTCATATTTTATCATATACAAAATTATCATATCGAATCGAAGTCGAAAGTTGTCCAATTAGAAAGAGGGCGTTGATCAGTTTGACCTGTTCATCAAGGTATGATTATCTTTGTAAATTGCTTCTGTATGTAAATATTTCTTTAGCCTTAATGTGTTGAATTAACATGGCTTACGGTGATTTGGGTTTTTAGGCTGGGCCATTTATACAAAAGATTAACAAGATTAAGATGTAAGCTTTGTGAAATGAAATGTTACCTTATTTTCTGAGACAGCCCTATTCTCGAGCGCGTACATGATGGCTTTGGAGACCTTCGTCTCGAGTTCCCTGAGGGCGACGTCTGCGTCCACCTTGGTGAGTCTCTCCACGCCTTCCACGTAGCCTGCCCAGGGACCGTCCAGCTCCGACAGTAGAGAACCGATGCACCTGTTGAAAAATTCATTTATCAAATAGTTTAAACTGATGCACCAGTTTCCTTTGGAATAACGATATATCTCGCGTGACACTGACCGCCGCACTAAAGAGACAAGGAAATAAAAAGCAATACATGTCTGCGACTGCAGTAAAACATGAAAAAACTTTTATGTTTTTAGTTCCAAGAAAAGGAGTTCAGTGCGAAGTTTTGCAATTGTCTGCTAGAGTAAAATGTTGACCATGTTTCACTTTGTTGCTGCATTCAGTAAGGATGTTGAAATGCTTTCCGTGCCATCCCTAGTCCTCTTTTGATCAAGTTTGTTATAGATTGCACAGGATCCTCTTTAAACAAACGTGCGAGTTACATTCGTATGCGCTTTGATCATTTTATCGTTGCATCAAAATTAATAGAATTGCGTTAGCCGCTGTGTTTCGCATTTACCTACATATTATTTAGATATAACGTTTTATCTTTCCGTTTACTTAATTAGTCGAAAACAAATCATAAAAGTAATAAAATGAAGTTGCCGCGGGCTATAGGCGATAGCCATCACTACATGAATATTTTAATATGATTAATTAGTTAGAGAGGCAGATGAACCGTAGACCCAGTATGAATAATAGCATTGGGTAAGTGACTCGACTGTATTGCAAACTATCCTTTGTCAAACTAAAGGAGAATCGATACAAGCAACGTCTAAGATTGATTTTACTCAATTCCTAGCCAGTGTTAGCTCGACACAGTCGAATTTAACTAAAATCCTGGCTCTAGAGTCTCAAACAATTTCACACAGCAAAGACAACGTACACAAAGGAGTAAATAATACTGTTATACTTGTGATGTTACCTTTATCGTGTTCAACTAGGATATTTTCAAGGGTGTACCGAATAGTTCCCATGAGAAGCGAGTACAAATTGTGTTAGATATTTTATTTATATTTGTTAGTGACAAACATCTTGTCGGTTACCTATTACGTAATAGAGAAAGTTTAGCTTCACCCTTAATTTATGTTTAAATCTACATAATAAGTTAAATAGGCCCAATTTCTAATAGACAACATTGCCAGAATTAAAAAATAATCCTATATGAGCCGATTTTTCCAACGCCAGATAAATTTTAACTGAGGAATAACTAAATATTTGACAATTCTTCCATACTAAAAACTGTCAAATGTAAATTTTATAATAGCTGATGATTGGAAAATCGGCCCTAAGTCAGCTACAATCCATAGATGGCAAAATAAAATTGTTTTACTATTCACATCTAGAAATTAAATCTAAATTTCCAATAGCAAAATTAATTAAGCTTAGCTTTAGACAAACAAAAGGACAGTCCACACTACGCCTGAGCCTGAGACGGACAAGCATGGTGCACACAGGCTGCAATTAATTTACGCACGACACGACGCGACGTATACAAGTGTACACTAGCCTAAGGTAGTTTATTACTCGCCTTGATTGCTCGCCTCTCTCGCCACAACTGATATACGACATTTTTTATACGAAATTGCCATTTATTCGACTGCAACTGTGCATAGTAAAGATTTTATTTCAAATTGGCTATTTGTTGCACTATGTCTTTAGTTGGAGATAAAATGAATGCGCCTACAAATTATGGTGTATTTAATTTTGTTAGATTATAGAAGCTTGGGTTTTTGCGACTGTTTTTATTTTTCATTTTTAATAAAGGTTTCATAGTAATTGTGTGTAATTATTGCAGTATTCCTATCTCAATTATTTCAGATGGTAGATTTCTAGATACCAATTAAAATTAACTTAAAACATTTATGTTGTACATAATGTATTTAAAAGGGCTTTCGTGGGAAAAAGCTGGCATGAATCGCGAAGACTCTTTACCTACGCAAAGCTTTTAAAGCAGTTGCGTGACAATGCGGTATGTCGATACTCGATTGCATACAACAAAGTGTCAATTTGAGTCAATAGAGCAGAGCACACAAGTACCACTTAAGTAGGTACCTACGTACATTCCATAGTGACATATATTATAGCTCGACTCGACGAAGACCAAGTGATCACTTAATGATACTAATAAACACATCAATCTTCATACAGTTTGGAGATTAAGTCCTTCAATTAGTAAATTGTACGTGGTTAACATACCTTTAGAGAAGAATGTGTTACAGTATTGTTCTCTATACTGTTTTGGAGTAATTTAGTTTATCGTCGAAAAACTTCAAAAGGAAATATACCTTTTTAACGAGACTAATTTAGCTCCGTATTCAAGGTTATGGTACTTGAGAAAAAAGCTTTTAACGTACCAATATAGGATTAACTCGGGAAATATTCCCAAAAATTGCTCTTTTATTTTAAAAGGTCCGCAGTATTTGCAAAGTGATCGCGGATTGTGGCATACTTTTGAATGGGTCCCACCCTCACTTGATTGTTGAGTTCTCTCACGAGTTTCGGGACTCGTTAAAGTTAAAATCTCTTTGTTTGACAGAAGTTAACGAATTTAATTAGTGACGTGTCTGCTGTAGCTTACCTTTTATTTGGACTTCAATAGACAGTTGATAAAGTTGTCGCTCGAAATAAAACAAAGTTGTGATTGAAAAACTAATTTAGAAATTAGTAAAAGTAAAAATAAATGCCTGCTAACACTTTTTCAAATAAGTAATGATTAGTTTTTCTAGAGCATGTAAAGGTTTGATTGTAAAACAAGACAGTCGTATTTTTAATAATAGGTAAATGTCGTCTTGGTCACTGACGATTGCTACAAAACCTACCCCTTCTATTCGATATAGTTACTTCTAAGCGAGACATTCTTGGCAACTCTAAGCTTCCGTTTGCAATAGCAATTCCTATTGCGAGCGACACCATTCGCGCATTCTTCCTATATTTCTTATTGACAATAGCACGCGATCCTGCAATGCCAGCGACTAGCCCTAGCATTCTAGTATTTAAACTTTAACGTAATATTATCATAGACTAGCATTTGATGTAAATGTTGGTTTACAGGATATGAAATTTTCTCCTTGGAATTCCATGTTTCATTCTCTTAGGAGAGCCTTGCACTCGAGTGTGATATTTGTTAATTTTACAAAAATATACTTGGTTTAACTCAGTCTATTTGCAACAGACTTCATTCATCTATTCTAAAATTCCGCGAGGACCGCCCTGAGGACACGGTGGAACACACCGTAGCGGAATGCCCTGCGTGGGCTGAGCACCGCCGTGCCCTCAGGGAAGTGATCGGCGATGGCGACCTCTCGCGTCCGGGCCTAGTGCAGGCCATGATGCGGAGCGAGGGGGACTGGGATGCCGTCTCCTCCTTTTGCGAAGCAGTCATGCTAGCTAAGGAGGAGGCGGGACGCGTGAGGCAGCGAAGCGCTGCCTCCTCGCAACCCAGCCATCGCGAAGGACACACCGGGCGTCGGGGATCGCGGGACGATCTCCGGCCACCGTAAGCGCGGGCCTGCGGACGGCGAGCATGGGTGGCTCCCCGTCCGACCAGAAACAGACCCGAGCGTACGGCGCGTCGCGTTCCGCGCGCGCCTCAAAGAGCCATCAGACCACCACAGATGGGGCCCAATAGGGCCGATGCCGATTCGGAGTCGCGGAGAACCTAACGGGTAACCGGGGCTCCGGCTCGACGTGCAGGAGAAGGAACGGGGTGGTTTTTAGTCAGTAAGAGTCTGACACTCCCTTCCGCCTCACCCAGGCGGGAGCAGTCATTCGATGATTTTCCCCCCTTAAAAAAAAAAAAAAAAAAAATCTATTCTAAAATTCTGCTTAGATTCGCCGACCGATTTTGTCAAACAACACAAAGAGACATGTTGCATTATCCTTGGAATCAAATTTAGCGAGGACCCGACATTGAAGTGAAGCGAGACGAAACGAGACGAGCAAGGGCGAACTAATGTAATAGACGTGACATGGCTAGACGGAACGGAATGGAATGGGGAGTGGAACTTTCGACAAACGAAGGTAATTGGGAATTTGAAATGTGAAGTCCACCCTGCCGCCGGGTACGTTTAGAATTTGTCAACATTTACTACAGAACATGTTGCTCGATATAAATGATGAAGATGAATATTAAACACTGGGTTTCCAAACTTAACAAACATAAATTTAAAATGAGCTTAAAGCAGGTGCACACTCACCCTCTGGCCACATTGAGGCAGTAGTTTCTGCACGGCCTGGCTTCATGACCGTGACAGCGCGAGCAGCCGCCGGTCCGCAGCAGTCTTTCAGCGCAATTATCAGCACCGCTGGCCAGCACGCGCTCAGTAGCCGACAGCGTATCAGCCCCCACTGCTAACATTTGCAGCAGCGCTCGAGCCGCCTCCAGCGACCGAGATAACGACGTACCAAGCTATGGACAAACCAAATAACTGATTAATTACCAATCTTACTTTTATTACCCATGGGCATTAAGAGAGGCTTATCAACTGACAGCTTTTTGAAGAACTAATGAATAAATTATAATAAATCAAATAATTCAATCAAAATCGTGTAGCTTCCTACAAAAGTGATGGAAAAGCTTTAAATATCAAACAACTTTTACCGACAAACTTGTTAAAATAAGTAGGAAATGATTTATTATGGCGTCGGCGAGCGACAGCTACATTGAAATAAATCCAATTTAATGCTTTACGAGCTGGCCACCAGCGCAGCGCTGCAAGAAGCGCTAAGCAGCCGCCATTTTTATACATGTCATTTAAAAAAGCGCGAAAATGTCTGAACGGTGAATAAGATTTACTGACATAAGTGAAGCTCACGTTTATCGCAGGTTTACACTCCCGGTTTTATATTGGTTTACATTTATTTTCTGCCGCAGAACCACTACCCTTAAATATTTAATTAGTTCACTAAAACTCTGGGGTTTTCGACGCACGGTACGACGTGGCGCAGTGATTGAGGGTATTTGTAAATAAAAGTGTATTTGCCGTAATTCAGAAGACAATGCAAGGATTTTCTTATTTATTGAAACGCGAACATACATACATACGTGCCTACGTCATTAGGTAAAATTGTGAACAATTTTGTAATTTTCAAATGATTATATTATTGTTTTATGTAAATGCGTGTATCTAACTGCAACATTTCGTGACTGCACAACAGTGCCGTTCTGCAATAGTATTCATTATGCAGTGCACACTGAAGCTTTGTGCCACAATCTGCATACAACCTCAAAGGATGCTTCATTGCGACATCGAGACCTACTGACAAGCCTATACAGCCACTTATAGTTCGAATATTAACAATCATAGCTTGAGTTCTCTGTTGATCTACACAATAATCTAGATATTAACATTTTATATATTTAATTACTTTTGCTATAGCATGGATAATTGATTGTAGACAAAATTTCTCATATTTGTGAAAACAACGTTATAAAACCGGAAAACTACATATTTAAAAATTTCATTCGGTATTCGGTAGTAGGAACTCACTTAAATGAAAAATTACGTGACTGTAAAGGCTTAAACGCGAGTTATCATCCGCAGTGTGAGCTTGACACTGTATGGCGTATTTTAATTCAGATAATCTCCAGGTAAACCCAATTAAGCCGCGTGCCAGCAGTCAACTTAAATATATAATGCACCATTACTTTTAATGGTCGAAACCTACGTCGCGTGCCTCTTAAAACTGCTAAGAAATGTTTAATTTACCCGACACTTTTGGCACTTTTATGCTCCGCTTGTACACCCAGCCGTGTAAATAAACTAGCTTCTTATTTTTAATTGCGTAAAAGAGTCAGGTATGATCTAAAGATTAATAATTGCTGTATTTAATCGTTAGAAGAGACACTATGATTACTTAAAGAAATAATAAGCAAACATAATTACCTGCTGCGGCACGTCTCCGAATGGCTGGACTGTATCATATGCGTCCTTAAGGCATATTTCGTAATCAGGCGTGAACTGCTTGACGTCCAGCTTGAGCACATTGTGGTAAGCCACAGGGAACAGGTCTCTGAAGAACTTCTTCGTAGTAACGGTTAAGTCCTTCGGTGGTCCAGCACTGAGACCTTCAGTTGAGAGATCCCCTTCGGATCGCAAAATTAATCTGATGTCGTCATAAAGATTCGCCAGAGGCTGGACCGTCCGCGTCGCGTGACCTCGGTACAGCTGTGTGAACAGCGTAGCTGTCTTGTTCTGTGACAGATGCGATAATCCCATGAGGTGATCTAAGGAAAATGGAAAACTAATTAACTTACATTGATTAACTCTTACTAATTTAATTACGAAGCTTAATATTTTCATAATGTACACTTGATATTTAAGCTGAATAAATACTTATTAAGATTGAAATATCACGCAGTTACAAGATTACCCTACTCCAATTATAAAGTAATTAGGGAATGATCGGCAGCAGCAAGTTCTGTAATCAACTAACTCCATATCACAACAGTGTAAGTGAAACCTCCAAGGGAATATTTACATGTGTCTTACCAAAATTTGGATACATGTAGTTACGAAACATTTGTGTACAATAAATTAGACGTAATGTTAACAGAGCCTCTGTAAATACGTTTAGTTGCTCAAACATCCCCTGAGTATTTGGCTTGATAGTTTGTGGCACCTGCTCTGGAATTATAAGAGCATCCAGCGTTATCTCGGAATGCAGGGCCGAGGCGCGGGATCAACGCCTTGACGCATTCCTCGGTCCCGCAACACATACACTCATATAACTCAAGTACTCAAAGTCCGCATTATCCTACAAAGTATGATAAGTAAAAGATATGTATTTTTTAATTAAATAACACGTGGAGGTTCTTTATCATAATGCTACTACAAGTAAATCAGCGTGGTTGTGTGTTTAAACTGAGGAAAGCCTATGTTTATATGAAGGATGAAAAGCTCCTTTGATCTGCGAAGCTTGACGAAAAGCTTTTTAGTCGGCGCCGTTTGCCGTGTTCTGAAATATACCTGTGAACCGTACGCTTGAAGGATTCATTATGATTCTAGTTATAAATCTCCGAGGATTATGCGAGGAGTTAAATGTCGCATGCTTTAATTTTAGGAGGCTGTTATGTCATATTCTGTGTGTAGGAGCGAGGTGGGGCTTTGTTTTACTATTTGAGTTAAATTACTGTTTTAATGACTTTGAATCTGTGTTATATTATGAATGTTTTGTAATACATATGAATTCATTTTTAAACAAGGATATTATTACTGTTACTATGGCATATCTCCAACTTTAATATAAATAGAGGTTGTATGGAGGCTAGTTGCTAACTTAGCTTCCTTTTATTTAGTTTTGTAATCGCTTACATGATACATAAGTATACCTTCAAAACGTTGTCAGGATCCGGTATCACCAAGAAAAGACTAAAAGATAGCATAGACAAAAACAAATGTAATGAATGATATAATAGGAAATATCATAAAGGATAAAGTTGCCTCGCAGGGATGAGTTTGAAATTCCCTTTTGATCACTTGGTACTGCCATTAGACAGTACATTAAAGTAACCCTCACTATTTCCACCTGCACAATGGAGGGATTGATGAAAGTTCCCAGTACTTCACAGTAAATCCCTACATTCAATGTTTCGTGGTGGAAAATCCGAAACGTTAGCGGAAGGCACAGACAAGGCAGAAGGTTATCCCAGCTCTTTATTTGTTCCGTTAAAATCAATATTAAGTCAAAGTCAAAATCATTTATTTATACTTAGACCAGGAAGGTACTTTTGATCGTCAACAAAAAATTCAAAGTGTCAGTCCGTCGGTCAGTCCTGTAGTGAAGCTATTTGGTCATTCTAAGGTGTAGATTACTAATAATAAAACATATAAAAAGGTAACTTCAAAGCTACTGACATTATATTGGTAGAATAGCTCTAATAGTACATTATAGATAGGTACAATACAATATTGGGTCAAACAACTGAAGTTACTTAAAGTTAAAAATACCTAGGTACTCATACTAATACATTGAACATACTAATAGATTAATTTGTAACCCATGGTAAAAGAATGAGATAAAAAAATAACATGATGTAACGCGATGACATCCCAAAAGATAGATTAGGTACATTTATTTAAAAAAGTATGCGCGAAATTGATGTTCTGGATAGCGTTATTTTACAGTGGCGCGACGGTAGCTCAATAAATAATAAGTGTCATTCGTCTTTTCACAGGGAGACCTCCAGACGCCCTTTACGGTGCCCACCAGCCCACCAGCCCACCCAACTGGTTACATTTAACGCGGCTAAGTTTCACTACTACGTAATTTACAATTTTATATTTCAGAAAGGGATACTACGAGTCACGATATTCATATGTTCCACTAATGAAATATTTTATCGCTACCACTAAAAATATAACACGTCGAAGGCAACACGCATTTTTATTTACTACATCCACATAAAATTAGACTTCTAATTGAAATACTAAAATTAACATAAAACGACAAGCGTTTTGATTAAAACGTAAAAAGCTGGTCGTAAAATAAAATGTAAGAGTAGCAGCCCTAGAAGAGAAATGTTTTATTCATTATACCTCTCGTCGGTACATTTCAAAATCTAATGTAAATAAAGCTGACCTAATCAACGAGCTAAGCGCCTTTTGCAATTAACGCGCTTTCATCAAAATCATGACATTTTTCAACAGCCGCTCTTTTAACACTCAATGCCACTCACATTTAAAAGTCATTTAGTTAAGGAATCATAAATTGCATTACAGTGTACCAGCTCAGACTGTGAATAGTCTATGGAGAGTGGACTAATTACTTAGTTATGCAAATTCTACAGAGGTTGTTTTAACAAATGAACTCCGTCGAGCTTAAGCTGAGTTTTTTTTTACATTTTAAGAAATTTTATCTCGTGAACAGCAACTGAACTATAGTAATAAGAACAGGGCGACGGTAATTTGGACAGGATTGAGACGTGGAAAGTGAATATAAACGAGTCTAGGAGCTCGCTAAGGAAAATATATAACCTTCTTTTATCACCATTAATTTAGTTAAAACACTAAGCTTGCTGTTGCTGTATGTAGTTTCGGAGTCTTAAAATGTGTTTGTAAAGACTCATCTAAAATATATAAGGAGTTACATTTAATAAAGTTTATCCAAGAAAATCCACTTTGTGTCCTAAGTTACGAGTTTATACACTTCATATAGCTGGGGAGATAGAATCTTCATACTCCATAAATCTAAGGTGCGCATACTATAGAAAATACGTTTAAGGAAATTTCATAGCGTTGTGCGGATTATATCCTGTCAGTGGTTATGTATGGTGGCAGCCCGGCCCACGTACGCGGGCACAAAACTGGATAAATGGGACCAACATTGCATGTGAACCAGCGGTAAAAGGTTCACGCTAAATAAATAGCTATACAGCAGACATTTACATGTGAAAGAGTTTCAGTTATGTATATATCATACATTATGTTTAAAGTTCGGTTTAGTGCCTTGTATAGTCTTGGTACAACACTTAGCATCAAAGTGTATGTGAAACCGCAGAGAAAACCTACAGAACAATATAGCAAACGAAATTCACTTTACAACGGTAAAATATGAGAAACGCGAGGACACAAGAGCTGTTAATGAGAACTCTATTAATATTAAATTGTGTGTATTAACGTAAATGTGCGGTACCTTCATAAAGCACAAAGGTAAATTATTTTAGTGCTCTAATGAGGGTCCGTGCGTGTGGTCTCGGGGACCCTTAGGCATTCGCTGAACAATAGTATAAAAGGGAACCCTTCGCGTGAAGCACACTCTGATTATTTCCTCTTAGGAGCAGGGGGTTGGAGCTCATTGTTTTATACTTGTTAGTCGCGAGGTCGTCGCACCCGATAATATATTTTTTATAGATAATAACGCACCACTCGTGTTGATGGGAATCTTTGAAGAGTACTTACAGGAGAATAAGCTTTCAAATTGTTTCAAAAGATCAGAGGAACTATTCAACGATGGCAACAGAGTATACATAATGTTTGATTGCATGCTACTAACGTTGCTGATATTGCTTTTGTTTGAATGTATGTTAGTTGCCCGGGCCATATATTATGCTCGTTTGCGTGTTAAACAGAGATTAATCGAGGGTTAGTCAATGCTTGGCACTAGATGTAGCTACGCTACGATTCTAATCCACTCGTTACGGCTGTTTAAAACATTCTACTAATGTATCTACTCTCTTGATTATTTATTTTGACTGCTATGATTTCTCTTCACTATTACCTATTTACTTGTCTTGATCACAGTATTTTTGTTACTTGTGGTAAGCATTAATAAATATAGAAAACGAACGGCTGATTAACAGCTAACAGGTCACGAGCCGACCAAACCTAGCAAATTTTCTAAGCATTTCACAATCCTTATATGGATAGGCAATTTATTTACGTTGTAGTATATCGTGTGACATTTACTAGAAAACATAGTTCCATTAATTTAGTAAAGGCCAAACGTGTCTGCGATTCATCAGACGAATATAGACATTGATTGCATGTAATGATGCATGATATGGCAGGATATAAAGACGGAGCATTTTAAGACTATAATTGAATGTATTGTCTTGCCAATTCGATTCATATTTGGACACTATGTCAACAGAATTTAGTAAGGAAATTAATTGTCTTTGCAAAGGTTTGACGACGCGCGTTTAGATTTCATCAAAGCTATGTTTACGGCTTTAGTAATTAGTTAGTTTTCATTTTAGAAATATCTTACCAAATTGCTGAGATTGTGACACATAAAAGCTTGGAATATTAAATAAGCCAACTTTAAACAGCTCATCATCAATGTTTGCTTTGTCTCTACGCCCGTTAACGATGTTAACACGCGTACTAAGCCCACGTTCGCCCAGCCAGCACGATATGAGGACCTACTAGAAAAACCCTTCAGTTTTGTCCGTGTAACCAGTATACTATACCATAAGAGTTTTCCTGCACAAAATACAATTTCTACGTAGGTAGCAGGTGTTAACAAAACTTTTTCAGTTGTTAAAATTTTGTGCAAATTGTACACTTGTTAATGTGTCTATGTACAAAAACAAAATATATGTGAAAACTAAGTTGTCCAACTGAAATTGCTTTAGTCTGTCGGTTAGAACAAGTAAAGACACAAAAACTCTAAAATAAGCTTTTTCCAACATCTGTGCCCAACGTACGAGAAAATTGTAGCTATGAATATTAATTCGTTTTGTGTAGTCACGTCTTCATTGCTAGTTCTTAGTTTATGTGTTATTGATTCAATAAAGTATGTTTTTAGCTACATTCAATAAAAATGTATTTATGCAATACTCCCAATAATGATGACTGCTTGCACGATGCCGCCGCAAGTTAATAGTGCCAGCCATTACTTTTTATGAACACATAATGTTACACTAAATAAAATCGTTAAAAATTTAAATGCGACGCATATCATGTTGATTTTTTTTACGATTTCAATTATATGCTATAAATCTTTGTTTTTAATTTAACATATGACATTTGAATATTATTTATTTAAACCTAACTCTTAATTATGAGTAGTTACATCTAGTCCATGTAATTGCAAAACAAGTTTGAATAATGTCCAGAGGCAACTGAAGAGGTGGAGCATAAACGCGTGGCAAAATAATACATCAATAATGATGTGATTGATATCGGCATTAGTATCAACAAAGATATCGTAATCAATATCATAGATCAAATAGGATCATTTGCGAAGAATTGTGTGTAAAAACTAGTGTATCACATTTACTCTTATGAGGGTGGTCGTGTATTAGCGGCGTGTAGGGGTCGGTGTACACAAAGTGCCCAATTTGTCGGCCGTTGGGAATGTTTGTTAAACAAGTATTGTTGGGTCGACTAGCACGCGGCCCGGGCCCGCCTCTACTTTCTCATATTTATTGTTGTAAGTGCAGCGTGCGGGTTGCGGTAGGCTCTGTTTGTGGCGCAGGATGTGCCGCATCTGCTTATTGTAATCGAATGATCTTTGGCTTGACATAATAAACATATCTATGCGCGTCTTTCAATAACGTCTCCTTTTATAACGACAGTACAATGAGCTACAGATAGTGTTTATTGTATGATGCACGTTTACAATTTATAAATGAATGCATGTGTGCTATTTTTAGAGGTTCTTTCATGAATATGTTATGAGAGGAACGTATGAATGGATCGGTTATATTATGGTAATTGACACAATGAATACTGCCGTAACGAACTTGGAGGATGGGTCAAGCATGGAGTTTTCCGCGTTATTTAAAGTAGGTACACAATGAGTAACAAATATCTCAATCCCTGCTAATTGAAGTTTGTTTGTGAACCAATAGCTATCGGCATCACTGTTCTACATTCAATATCTGTTGTCTATCACGGTTATGTAGTTATTGCAAAGCATCTTGAAATCCCTGCAATCAGGTTGATGGAAGTGATACAATGGCGCAGCTCTGTAGACTTTAGATAGCCACTTTGATCTCAGGATGGACGTTCAATATTGATGATTCGCTAAGCAAGCGGAGCATATCCAGGCCGTTGCTTTAATCTGCGTACTTTGAATTTAGACGCCGAGTGTAGTAAGAGCCAGCTTAAGATCTCTCAGCGTTCTCATTCATTCACGATTCCTTTACAAACGGGTCCCTCGTGGTTAAGAAATGTGTGGAAGGAAAGCGAGTGTGCATAGTTTCTTGTGAGTTTTTGAGAAATGAATTTTAGAAAGAGTTTAAGAGTATAAAATGTTATGACGTAATATTCCCTTAAAATGTTCACTTTGCATTGTCAATCTGTTTTAGTAGAGTTACAATGAGATACTTAACACTTACACAATTATGAATTGTATATACAATTTATAATTAACTAAAACATCGAATAATAAAATAAGAAAAATAACTATTGTTATTGGTTTTGAATAAAGATTGAGTTAGTTTGTGGAGTATTAAATACAGAAACTTAAACCACGCCTTAATATTTAAAACTACCAAAACTACATATAACGCAATGAGGGCACATCCCATCTTCTTATGGAGATAGCTCCATATGAACTCCACTCCGTAAGAAGTGGTTGATATTTTTTGCCGTCTTAGTTAGAATGCTTTTAAAAGCTAAACAACACGACTTGTTATTTTTTTCTTCTATAATAATAGGTATACAAGCAAACTAATCTCTACACAAACATTGATCAAAGTTCCAACATTTTACTTAAATACAGCTTACCTTGTAAAGATCGCTTTGTATTGAGCAGCAGGTTCTCAGTCCTCAGTATAGGCCCAGTGGTGCTGGCCTCGGCAGCGCGTCGCAGTGCGGTCTGCACCTGCAACTCGCGCCCCCTGCCGCAACACTGCCCGCCGCATATTTGACCTGGAATTAAAGATTTTTACTTTATAACCTTGAATAATTCTACGTCGAATTATTAGAAATACTTAGAACACGAAACGACGAAAAGGAGGCGTAAATAATAAGGGTAAGATTTATAGAGACGGATTTGTACAAAGTCGTATAAAAACGTACCGGGAAAATAGCCGTACCTAACCCTTTTACAGAAGCTAAAGAGTAGAAGTAATATGTTACGTGTGAAACCATATAGCGTAATGATGACGCAGCGACCCCCAAATGGTTGGTTAGATCCGTTTCATACGTAATTATGTATTGAATTAACCCTCCTCGGAAATATTCGAGGAAATTATTCAAATAAACGGTTAGACGAAAAGGCAACTGGATTTATAGAGCTCAATTTCGGCTGTTGTTGAAGTACGTACCCATTACTCGTTGTTCGACCGAAAGCAATATTTCCAAAGCGTTGGGCCAGAACATGAATTTAATTATCTTTTACAACCAGTCTTATTGGTTTGTACAATTATTATTTGATATAGGTATAATTACGGCGTCGCAAATCATTTAAACATACCTTTGAGCTACAATATCAATAAAGTTTAATTTGATTACGATAAATGTATGTATTTGGGTATTATCAAAATTGATCAAAAGAGGTCTGCAAAAAATACTTGTAGCTAAAGAAATTCGAAGCACAGAAGGCAATGGAGTAGTGCTTCATTTCCAATTACTATTTAATATGAGGTCAAAGGTAAATTGTCGTGGAGTGAGGTCGTGTGACAGGTGTCGCCTGTGATGAGGGTACTCTCCAGTTAACAGCATCCGAAACACTCACTTTAATCACTCCTTCTATTAACTAACTATAAAGAACAATTAAGGAATCGTAGCTACTTGAAAATTTATGTTCTTTCCCTTTATATGGGACTATTTTAAGCTGGCGTGTTTATTACTTAAATTCAACTAAATTCAATTTGTTCAAACAAAATTGTTTATATATAGGTACAATAAAATGTAGAAAAGTTTTACTAAGGAACTGGACATGTACGTAGATATAGGTACCTTCACAAATGATTCCGTTTACGATCAATCAGTCAGTTATTCCAGAAGCCATTACCGAAGCCAGCGGCATATCTTCCCACGTAGAAATCGCAGCAATGACGGAAGTAACAACTAAGTACTAAGTAGCAACGTATGTATAAATGAAGCGAATGCATTAACGTATTACAGTCAAGAAAATCTGCTTACAGATACTGGTTTACCATCTGTTAGATATATAAGCAAGATCTGACTATAAATAGCGGCTGTCAACATTCCTAATTTAGATAAATCAACCCAGTATCTAAATACAAGACACATTGACACAATAAATGACGCAAGATAAAGTGTTAATGAACGCATACAGACCTATAGTCTAAATAACATAACTATTGTAACTAGGTTGTCGAATGTAAATAATATTTCGACCAATGAGACACGGCAGTGCTGAGATAGTCTGAGATAGTCGCGAGGTATTTCAACCGTGGTCTTTGGAAATGGTCCAACGACAGAGGGCCTAGTGCGAGTTTTTTTTACGTTAACTCGAAATGTTTAGCCCTATGATTGGTTGGTTAACTTGGAGCAGCCAACCAAAGCAACAGACGTCACAAACGTGATGATCGCGTTAGGATAAAACAAATTCGCACTAGGCCCTTTGTGCTTGTACACGTGTAAAACCCATCATCCAGTTAGTAGTGGTACGCCAACAGATTTATATGACTATAGACATAATACTAGTAGAAATAGAACTTAATATTCGTTGAAATAAAGAGAAATTTATGTTTGGTTTAATAACAGGATGTGACTAGATAATCTGAATGTTTTATTGCGTTTTAGTTTAGCACCTGTATATGAATCACGGAGTCTGATTGGGATATTAAGTTGGAAATTGCAGGTTGTTCAATATCTTCTTCAATAAATAAAGTTAAAAGAAAACAGGACGTACCAAATAATATTACACGACTATTGGTTATGAACAAAAGGAATTAGTAGGAAATAAATAGAATATTTGTGCGCAGTAATGCTTGATTATTTTCCATTGAATATTTTTATTATTTAAAGGTGTCACAAAACACCATGTTTAAATCTTACAAAACCTTTTATATTTCACCGAAATCGGTTCAGTAATAACGAGAAACTATAACAGATAGACAGAATTACTTTCTCATTACTTTAAATACAGTAAATATCGACAAGGATGTAGATAGACAAATTAATATAGAAACACAATATTTGAATTAACTTCTAAGATATGAGAAGGATATTGGGTTAATAGAACACATAATTTTATTGAATGAACCCTATCTATCCTAATACCGTATATAAACTTAGTATCAAACCGAATTATACTATCTAAAATAAACAATTTTAAGTGTACCAAGACTGCAAGTATAGATAAATAATATGTCTCAATATTTTGTTGCCAGTATCAATTAAAATTTCATTTATTAACTTCTTGCATAATTCGACCTACTTGCTTTGAACATTAAACAAGGGTTGCTGGTTGCAATCGAAAGGTTCAATGGTTCTTTGATTGAAGAAACTGCCTTGAAGAAAATTGTACCCTCGCTCTGATTGTTGCTGTATTTCAATCTAAGTATTTTTCCACTCTAAAGAAAATACGTACCCAGATTTGTAGTCTAGCACAAAATAAGCATTCAATTACCTAGTACTAAATTCAATAAAACCACGTTTCGTAGAATTCCACTTGATTGTAGGCACTAGGCATATTTTTTTACTTCAACGAATTTGAATAAAGTATATTAAAGACCTACCCACCTGAGTTTTTATGATACTTTTTATGAAACTGACAATAGCCCCACGTTTCAGCGCTGTAATATTTATCAAATGCTCAATTACATAAAATGAAATAGTTCTCAGAAAAATCTATGTCATTTTGCTTTGGATCCTATCCAGACAAGAGAAAGACATAAGTCGCGGTAAAAAATTAACTACCTTCGTCAATAATAATGAATGATATATAATATATAATAATATATACGATCATATATTAAATTACATTTGGCACAATGTCGTGTAAGAGAGCGACGCCCGACGCAGGTTCAAGGCTGCGCCGGCGCATTGTTGTGTGACAGCTAGACGAGAGCACACAAACACCGACCTGCTGAATACCAGACACAAGTTCTTTTTTAAATATAACTCTTAATAAAAAATAACTATATTCTGTTTTAAAGCCGTCCGCGTCCGCTTTGTGTTGCCGACATGTTTAAAATTAAATTCTAGGAAATAACTTATCCGCAGAATGTTATTGGTAGATACCTGTAACTAATATCGACTAGCATTAGCTGAATTTATTGCAGTCTGTATCTGTGTAAAGCCCGCTTTATTGCAAGTTTCCTACCGAGTAATGTGGTTCAATAATATCGGTGGCTTACAATATAATGTGCGGTATTAGTGTACGGGCCGACCGACAGCTGTTGCGGCAAGGCCGCGCCTCCAGACTGAACGGTGCCTAGCACACTGAGCACCCACATCTATTACCTATTACATAAATTGGATAAATGAGGCTCCGCGATTAAACGGAAACACCTACACTTATTGTTATTACATTAAACGTGATAAACGATTATTGCGGACATGAAAGTCGTGGCGAACACCTCACTAACAAGATCGTAGAGAAATACTATAATAAATAAGTCAAAGTTGATTGATGCATACAGCTTTTGCATTTCTTATTCGTATTCCGTTGTTCTCAGGTTAACTAGTGTCCGTAAACTAAACATTCGCCCACTGTTGGTACAGGCAAGTTGAGTCATAAATCTAATAGCACATTTACGGCAAATAGATCGGTAATAAAGTTGTCTCGGTAAATTGCTGGCTTGGTTTAGAGTGGCTGACCAATCAATCATCTGTGAATGTATAAGTGGTAGTAAAAAGTGGGATTACTATGAATAACAACGGGTAACAAATTGATACTACCTCGAGACGGTTATGCGATAATAAACATAAGAGTATTTAAATAAAATAAAAATGTCTTCAGGCCGTCCGTCTGGAGTCGGCCATCGGTGAGTTATTTAAATTCATATGACCCACGGCGGTACGCTGAATATTTTTACATCGGCTGTTTAATATTTTTTGTAAGACAGCGATGAATTGAACCACATTTTGAAGGTGTGAGACATGATCGAACACAGCGAGGACAAGCTGACAAATGCGTCGAATTGAGTAATTCCGAGAAGAAATAAAAAAAAAGTTTGCTAAATAAAAATAAATAGGTACATATCTCAAAACATACTATTTTTCATTCCTATTTGTTTACATTCCTCAATCTGAATGATTGATTCAGGCGACCGTTTTGTTTATTGCCCTTCGTCCGTTGGTTCGCAATCACGTAATTCTTCTCTCGATCGCTGCGTGGGCTTTGGACCTTTAGTACCGTTTCTACTCATGAATATTCAGTCCAATTGTCTCAAAAACGCAGCAACATTAAAATGTAACGTCAACAACATCCGCCATTAATTTTTTTTACGATTATTTGATGATGTCTTGTCGCGCATCTCTAATTCTTTACAGTTGTAGGTAAAACTAAGAAATATAGGAACACAGGTGTGCCGCTGCCGACTAAATGAGTCATAAAGATATAAAATAAAAAAAAATACATATATCAAGTTAAGTCGAGTGTAATCTAGATTTTTGAACGTGAGATATAACTGTTACCGTGTTTTGACAGACACTTTTTTGCAGCTGCAAAACTGGAAATCATTAATTTAATAGTGTATTGACATGATATGCAAATGAGGTCCAGTCATAATTACCCGTTACTTTGATGCTCTTAATGAATGAGATCCAGACTACTAGATAACAAGTTTTTTGAGACTAGATTTTTTCTTAATTAAATATTTTATTGCAACACTTACTACTAGAAATTAGCAAGGCACAGTAAGCAATACACGCGAAAACATAAAGCTATACACTAAAGTAGGAAGGTAAACAAGTCTTCGACTAAAGTCAGTAAGTACTTACAAATTGCA